CAGCAATTTAGGCAGCACAAGGGGAATTACAGGAGGTTTTTCTCTCTCTGGCATGTTTTTAAAGAAGAAAAAAAAAAGTTATTCTCATTAAAGAATGGAAAGAGGAAAATATCTGGTTGTGGGCCATGATTTACCATTCATCACAAATTGAGACTTTCTTTCTACTTCTCAAAGCTTACTGTTTTGGAGAGGTTCTTTTTTTTTTTTGGCCTGGGAGGTATGTGCAAGGGGAAACAGATTCAAGCAAACACAGACTATGGTGACACGAAGTCAATTAGGATGAGGGCATTCAGATGTAAGGGAAAGGCCCAGAGGAGTAACTCAGAGGACAAAAAGTAGACATAAAAGTCAAACTCTGCTTTAAAATTTTAAAACAAAAACTTGGTCTAATTAACCTAGTTACTCCATTTTTAACAACTGCACACTTACTTCAAACAAAATAAAATAAAGTTAAATCAAATTATAAAAACCTCTGTTCTGTGATAGTGGTTTAAACTGGTAGTCAACACATATTTGTATGAATGATATGGACAAGTGCTTCTTTAAAAAATCAAGAACCCTATAATAATATTCATCACCTAACTCACTGTTTAGTAAAGATAATCCTAAAATAATCCTAAATCATTTTATAGGGGGAAAAAAAGATGGCCAGGTGCCTGCAGTTCATGCCTTATGATCATAGGTATGAAAGAAGCTGATATCTAAGGACTGTCATTCAAAGTCAGTCAAGGCAGGAAAGTCTTAACTCCAATAAACTGATATAAAAAGCCTGAAATGGAACTGTGGCTCAAGTGGTAGAGGGGCTAGCCTTGAGCATCAACAGGCTCATAGACAGCTCCCAGGCCCTGAATTCAAGCCCAGGACTGACATGTCTCCCTCCCTCAGATGTTTATTATCTGCTTGGAGGAATTTCTTATAAAATCAACAATGTAATATAAGAGCTTTGGATGAAAAAAAATGTCATGCATGTTAAAGTCAAATTTAGTTCTATATAGTTATATTTTTATTTCAACTTTGAGCCTTCCTTTTGTCAAGGAAGTATTTTTGTCAAATACTCAAACCACTACTTCCTTCGAAAAGGAAATGAGTGGTGAAAGGATCAATGGAAGGATCCATCACATCCATGCCAGGGGACCATGCAGAGGCAGACAGGCACAGGAGAAAGATTATTATGGGACTTTTCTGGCCCATGGCCAATGTGTGTTCTCCTATCTCATATGACTTGGGAAGAAGTCAAGGCCATGCTGTTCCTTCAGCCAAACTGGAGACATTACTTACACTGCCCTGCCTTGCCCACTGCAGACCCGGACCCTAAAGACCCCAGCTCCAGGGATTCCTTGATATTCCCAGGCCAGCAGGAAGTAGCAAAAAGAGCCCATGACACCCATTGGCTCTAGTACCTTTAAATATCTCCGCTACTTCCTCCTTGGGTTACTGTGATCCTAAAGCAGAAAAAGTCTTACTCCCCCTCCTCCAGGATGCCTGGAGTCACGTACCATGTTATGTCTCCAATCTAAGACAGAAAAGGCAATTCAGGTCTTTGATAGCCCCTTCTGGAAATCAATTCCTCCATGGCATATTCTGCTGACAGCAGTTTTTGCCTTAACAGCAATTTTGCTTTTTATTAATTGTGTTTTGTATTTTAGATAACTATTTATCATAGAAAAAGGAGGGCCTTTACCAACCACTGTCAAGCAGATGCTTCTTGGATGGTACTGGCTGAGCAACAAACCAGAGACCCCTGACTACTTAGCCCCTTTACAGTAGGAAGTAGCTCCAGAAGAAACGACCTCCACCCATATCCCCTGCCCCAGCCTGGTACTCCCTATTTTTATTAAACAACAGAGATGGGAATGTAAGCATTATGCCTACCTCTGGTCCTCAGCTCTACCCAGACCTGAGCTCCTCCCTGCCCTGGAGTTCCCACCATATAGCTGGCCCTTCCCTCTCTCCACCCAGACCCACCTGAGATCCCATCTACCTCACTTCCTACCCCCAGACCCTATTGCTACCTGGATAGTGGAGGCTACCATGTGCTCTCTCTCCGGGGGAAATATAGCTCCTCTAATAAACCTTGTAATAATCTTTCTCCTGTGCCTGTCTGCCTCTGTGTGGTCCCCTGGCATGGATGTGATGGATCCTTTCAAGTGGAAAATTCTCTAAGTATCAAAGTGGGCTCTGCTAATAATAATCTTGTAATTTTTCTTCTTCATGTATGTTTGAAAACAACTTCTAAAGACAATGTTAAGTTTATTTTTATGATAAGGCTAAGCTGGACACTGGAGGCTGGGCACTGCTAGTCTGGGAAGACAAATGAAATTTTTATTTCCAATTTACAAGGAAATTTACCATTTACAAAGCCAGAACTAGAGGCACTGCTCAATACTAGAGGCCTATTCATGAGTGAAATAAACAATCAAGAGCTCCAGGCCCTGAGTTCATGTCTTAGTACTGGAAAAACAACAACAAAAGATTATAGATAAGACAGAAATGTATTTCTGGGATCTTCAGACTGTTTTAAACTGAGAAACATTTTGTCCATTTCACTGAAAATCAAATTTGTCATTGATAGGTCTCCTAGAAAGCGAGAGTGAGGATATGGTTGGTTAACTACATGCCTTTATTGTCTTCTTGCCCTTTCCAATTAACTGGTTGAGGACCCTGTTCTGAGAATGCCATAGTGAAAGAGGGATTTATTAATGCTACGGGATTGCTGGTCTAGGGCTTGAACTCTGGGGCCTGGCACTCTCCCTGAGCTTCTTTTGCTCAAGGCAAGCACTCTACCACTTGCGCCACTTCCTGCTTTTTTTGAGTAGTATGTTAGAGATAAGAGTTGCACAGAGTTTGCTGCTGGGACTGGGTTGGAACCTTGAACCTCAGATCTCAGCCTCCTGAGTAGCTAGAATTACAGGCCTGAGCCTTTAGTTCTTGGAATGGGGTCAAGCTGAGTTCAATTTCAGAAAGGGCTCATACACTTGGTTGAAAATATATCCTTGTAGAATAAAAAGGGGGATGGAGGAGGAAAACTATATCACATGTCAAAAGCATTACTTATCCTAACCCACATGTTGAAACTTTAAGAAACTACTAATAAATAATTATGCAGATTCTTATTTTTTTAACGTTGGACTTTTCCTGTCAGAATTAATTGTAAACGAGTTTTTTAAATGCTTTTGGGTGTTGGCTTTTTTTTTTGAACAAACTATTTTAAGTAGTTTTAGGTTCACAGCAAGACGGAACAGAAAGGACAAAGTTCTAAATGCCCCACATGACAGCCTACAAACAGCTCACATCAGAGAAATTCATTTAGAAACAGACTGACACATTACCATCTCCAAAGTTCATATTTTACATTATGGTTCACTTTTGGCAATTGACAGATGCCTAATGACACATATTCCCTGCTATAGTGTCATAAAAAAAAGTGTCTTTGCCATAAAAATCCTCTGCGCTTTCTACATTCGTCATTTCTTCCCAAAAATTTTAGTAAGTATTGAGAAACAATCTTTATATACAAGTAGAGCCTCCTCCCCTGTCCCCCCCAAAACTTCAGGCATACATACACCATCATACATCATTGTAAACCAGAGTCAGCAAAACATGATATGCTGGCAAGTTGTTCATGAGAAATTTTAAAAAATCAACTGGAAAGGGAACAGAATGTAATTATACTACTCTCAGAATTGCTTTCTTCTTCCCTGGTCTGTGCTGATTTCAGTCCTATGGAACTAAGGAACAGGTTTCCCACTCTAGTTTTAAGTGGCCGACAGATTTCTTACAAAACACCTTGCATTTGCATATCGGCTCAAAAATTCAATTCTGAGCACAAAATGGAGTTAATGTTCAAGTGAGAAAAACTGCTTTTACCTAAGACGGTACCATAGATGTTTGAGTGAGAGAAGTTGTAAGTTTTCTCTGCTTTTTCTTTTCTCTGTGCACAACTTCCTTATTTGATAAGGTACTGCTAGCTTCAGTTTCCTGCGAAGTGAACTGGGAATTCCCAGGAACCAGACGGTTTCACACAGAGAAGGTTAACACCAGAATGTGGGTGACATCAGTGTTCTTACTGAGTCACAGTCCGGTCTCCACCCCTTACCCCCTTAGCGACCCTCAGACTCCACACACCCAGGCAGGGCTTCTGGTGGTGTCCTGGTCCCCGGGGTGGAAAGCTGCGGAAGGGTCGGGCTGAAACCCTTCCCCCAGGGGCCGGCTCCCAGCGCTGGTGACCATCTGTGGCTGTGGGTGGCCGGCTGCCTAACCCAGGGAACATTTGGTGTTAACTCTCCGAGAGGTGGGGCTCTGGCAGACCGTGTGCTGAGTGACCAAACCTAAATAAATACATCATCGCGTTAGCTGTTATCAGGCCCCCCCGGGCGTGGAAGAAAGCACAGGAACTCAACACTCACTTCAGAGCCCTGGGGGCGGTGTGTGTGTGTGTGTGTGTGTGTGTGTGTGTGTGTGTGTGTGTGTGTGTGTGTGTGTGTGTGTGTGTGTGTGTGTCAAGTCCACAACTCAACACTCACTTCAGAGCCCTGGGGGCGGGGTGTGTGTGTGTGTGTGTGTGTCTGTGTGTCTGTGTCAAGTCCACATCAGCGCCCCTACACCACACAGGCAGGCGGGGTAGAGCTGAACTTCCCGACACAGGAAGATGTGTCAGGGTCTAGCCCGAACTTGCTCTCCCCGCAGCCTGGTCCTGTGCGGGGCCGGGGGAGGAAGAGGTGTCTGAAACATAGTCAGGAAAAGTTCTGATCACCCCTAACCTCTGCGCCGGGACCTGGCGAGCCTCGTCCCTCACCGCAGGAAGCTCCTAGCATCCCCGGGCTGGGGGCGGGGGGAGGAGCGGGCCCGCAGGGACCCCCCCCCCCGCGCTTCCTCGAGGTGCCCTTCCCCGGACCCGGGGTCCTGGGACACCGCCGGGCGGTCCTTGGGCCCCACTCGCCCATGGTGACCAGGGGGCGGCGCCGCCCGCTCAGGTGAAGTCACGACCCCAGCCCCCTTACCTTCATCATTTTGGATTCCAGGTCCATGGTGGTACGTCGGGCGGAGGGATGGGGGGATCCGTCCTTGTCCCGGATATCACGCCCGAACTAGGCTGGCCTCCCGCTCCACAGCGAGCACCGCGGGAGGCGCCGCAGCCGCAGCCACTCAGCCCGCGCCGTCGAACTTCCGCTGCGCAGTCGGCCACCGCGGTCCTGCGGCAGAGACCGGGAACAAAGAGGTCCCAGCAGCCAATGGGAACCCGGCAGTGCTGGTTCTCGACCAATCATCGAGCGCCGCACGCACCTTCGCGGGCCCCAGCACTGAGCCGGCAAGGTGAGGGGCGGAGCCAAGTGGAGCGCGCTGGGTGACTCACGCTTCACCGGTCCATCTCCGCGCCGCCACCGGGAGCCGGGATCGGACGGCTTCGAGCCGGAGAAGAGGCAGAGCCCCTCCCAAGGCTGCAGAATCCACCTGTGTTTAGGAAGACCTTTGATGCAGGTCCAGAGGAGCAGTGATCCCAATGATGACTACTTGGTTTATTTTCAGGGCAAAAAAAAAAAAAGGAAACGAGGAGATGGTAAAGGTTGTCCGAGATGTCAGTGATGGTCTTTGTGTTCTAGAAACTTCACTCACTATTGAGTTATAGAGATCTAGAGATGTAACTCTCTCTCTCTCAACAGATGATAGATAGCAAGACAGATTGATATAGATGTAGAGATAGATATAGATAGTAAGATAAGAAAGATAGAGGTAGCCGTCCAGAGTTAAAGAGATATCCTTTTGCTCGAATTCCTCTCTCCATGTTGTCCCAAACACCAGCTGGGACTTTCAACTTGTATTCTTAATGTCAGTGAAGATTGCTGTGATGGTTTTGAGTATCCCATTCCTCCCAAATGCTGTGGACTACTTCAGAAGCAGGTTGGAGAGAAAGGCTTATCTTTGTCCTTGTGGGGAATGGGCTGCTGTTGAGTCTCAATGAGGCTTTAATGAGGAACTTCTCACAGCATCACTGGTACACAGAATCGGAATCCCTTTTCTGCCCTTATTTAGGCGCCCTTGCCATGAATACCATCAGTGGAGATGAGAACTTGTGATTTAATTAATACGGTTTCCTTTATTCCACAGGAAACTAAGGCCCTGGGATTTCAGGGACTTGCCACGTGCTTCCCCAGTTGGGGATAGAACAAGTGCTTATAAATCTTATGACAACGTCTTTAGGATATTTGGGACTGAAAACAACATTCTTACTAAGGATAAAGCAATTTTCTTCAGTTACTGATAATAGCAAGTGAAAATGGAGAGATAAGTAATAACCTAATTTGTCATCTACTTCCTTTTTTTTCTTAATAAACTTCTCGGGCTGGATATAGCTCAGGGGCAAAGCTCTTGCCTAGCAAGTGCAACATCCTAGGTTCAATCCTCAGTACCACAAAAGAAAATGATAATGAAGAGAAGAAGAAAAAGGAGGAGGAGGAGCAGGAGGGAAGAAAGAAAAAAGGAAAGAAAGAAGAAAAAGAAAAGTTTTACATAATGCGCACATTTAAGTCCAGATGTTTCTCTACTTTGCTTCTGGAAGTAAATTTGGTACAACAAACACTCAAAACTCATTTTAGCCAACACTTTCAACCCTTGATTTTACTTGATTAGTCATTAATGTTATTCAACGGAGCATTTGTTTATAATATGCACGTTCTCCTTTTCCAGCTAATAACTAAAAATAAAATGAACAAAAATGGATCATGGTTGGTTTTAATTCAGTTGACATAAAATGTTTGTCTCATTTTCCTAAGCTGTCCTGATAAGTTTGGGCCCTGTAGTTTGCCCAGTGCAAACTCTGTGGTCTAGCTATGATAAAACAAGTTCTTCTTTTTCAAAGATGGAAAATGTCAAGTAAAGCATCAGACAAACATAGTAACAAAAGTTTGGGGAACTTATTTGGGAGAATAGTAGAGAGGACACCATCAAATTCTGCTTGCCTTCTTTTTTTCTTTCCAGCCCTCCCAGAATCACGTTTTATGGAAACTATTTGGCAAGGATGAGCACAGAAATTCTGTTATATCTACTTAGAGTCCTTACTCTGCCAAGTTAAACAATTATTTATAGAATGTATGTAAATTATAGAAACAAAATTGAAGTAGCAAGTGTTAGAATTAAATTGTAAGTCCTTATTTAGTTATTCAAGTGAAAAACTATAGAGATATTAAGAATGTAGAAGGGCCGCAAGATATGGTTGATGGAGGAGGAAGGAGCAAAAGTCAACACACACAATTTGCTATGATCAATTTCAAAATTATCCATACTGCAGGTAGTTCAGGAAGAGAGAAAAATACAAAATGAAAAGCAGAGTTTTGTTCAGTTATGGGGGCTAAAGATAAAAGATATGGTTTGGTATGTAGTAAGTTTGAAATTGAGACATATCAAAATAGAAATCTTAAAACTGAAATTATGTTTAGAAGTCAGCATCTTATCTAAATTAAACAAGTAAAAGTCACAGAAATAAACACAGCCTGGGAGATAGAAAAAGAAGAAGACACATCAAAGACAATAATTCAGCAAGACTGAATGAGAGATAAGTGAAAAGGAGATGAAGGTTAGTCAAAGGATGTGACCCTGAAAAGAAAAATGAGACAGAGAAGTCAGCCAAGTCAGTCAAGAAAGGAAATACAAGAAGGAATCCATTAACAATGAGAGATTGTAAAGAAAGGTCAGATGTACACTGGATCTAACAAAAACATCATTGATGACTTTGGGAAGTGTATTGCTGGTGGAATTGTGGAGATAGATATTACTTTACAATTTTAGCTCTCTTTGCGGTTACCAGAGTGCTTTGGTCAAAGTTTGACTTGGCTTCTCCACAAAACTCATGGAAACATCAGCCAAATAAATGGCAATCAAATGAAGTAGAAATGATGTCTATATACTGGATACTATAGAATGTTCTTTTAAAAGGCAACTACAAGTATTAGCAGTGATAGACACAAATACATGCTAAAATAGATTTTGTTTATAAAGGCCAGAATAATTTATGTTCAGGTTCAGGTCAGACTCTAGGTGATCAAATTATTATCTCTGATAAGGGAAATGTAGTGAATATTTATATGCCCTGTACTATAATGGAAAATGGAGCAATATAAGCACATGTAAGACATTTCCTCTTTTCTTAAGCTGTTTACAGATTGTTAAAGTTGTTGGCAGTTAGGGTGGTAGGCCTGTAAGAGTAATGAGGTGTTACAGGCAGGGAGAAAGCACAAATAGAAAATCCTGCAGAAGGGAGTATTGCTGTTTACAAAAGCTTTTGAAAGGAGTATTCTTTGGCTTTTGTTCTAGTACTTAATTGAAAGTACTAGAAACCCTGTGGAATTATTTAGCAATTTTTAAAGGTGCCATTTTATTTTCAAGACACAGATGTTTCTTTCAAAACTTAAGAGCCAGCATGCATCTGGGATTGGAGCCAGGCAATATATAATATCTGCAAACAAGAGTGCTGCTCTTCCTCAGGGGCTGTGTGGACTCTCACAATGCCCTGACTGCATTAGCTTTAGCTTTAGCTATTTTCTGCACATATGGACTTCCAATAAAGGCAATCTCATCGCATGAATGTTAACCTTTTAGTTTCAGCAAAAGACCAAGAATGGCCCTCTGACCCCTCAGACAAAAAGATTCTTGTTTATCCCAGCTTGGGTAACTTTGGACTTCAGACCCAAACAGTTAAGACTGGTGCCAATGCAGAGGCATGTAGCACAACATACTCACTAAAGCCCAAATGGATAGGTTTTACAAATATCTCAGAGACAACTCTCTTTCAAGTATCATAAGGCATTATACAAGAAGAATAACAGGTACTAGAAGAAAATTGGTATTCATCTATGGACATTTGAACATTTCAGAACATTCTTCTACAGAATTTATACGCCAGAAAGCCTACTTGGCCCAACAATTATAGATCTTCCTTTTATTTGGGATGAATAGGTTTAGGAAGATGGGAAAAATGTAAGAATTTAAGAGTGATTAAGGAATCTACAAATTGAATGCAATACCTATCAATATTTTAACATTCTTCAATGAAATAGAAGCAACCCAAAAATTCATATGGAACAATAAAAGACCTCGAATAGCAAAACCAACCCTTAGCAGAAACAACAGTGCTGGAGGAATATCAATACCAAATTTCAAACTCTACAACAAAGCCATAGTAATCAAAACAGGTTGATACTGGCACAAAAACAGACCTGAGGACCAATGGAATAGAACTGAAGACCCAGAAATGAACCCAAGGACCTATAGCCACCTAATCTTCGAGAAGGGAGCTAAAAAAAAATAGAATGGAAGAAAGACAGCCTCTTCAGTAAATGCTGCTGGCAAAAGTTGTTAAACACTTGTAGAAAACTAAAACTAGATCCTTATATATCACCCTGCACCAGAATCAACTCCAAATGGGTCAAAGACCTCAAAGTTAAAGCAGACACCCTGAAAACATTACAGGAAGGAATAGGAGAAACTCTAGGGCTCCTTAGCACAGGCCGAAATTTTCTTAATAAAGACCCAGAAATAGGGGCTGGGAAGGTGGCTCAGTGGTAGAGCGCTTGCCTTGCATGCCTGAGGTCCTGGGTTCGATTTCTCAGCACCAGATAAGCAAAAAAAAAAAAAAAAAAAAAAAAAGCCGGAAGTGGCGCTGTGGCTCAGGTGGTAGAGTGCTAGCCTTGAGTTGAAGAGCTGAGGGAAAGCGCCGAGGCCCAGAGTTCAGGCCCCACAACCGGACCCCCCCCCAAAAAAAAAGACCCAGAAACACACCAAATCAAAGAAAGGTTGACAAATAGGTTTGCACGAGACTGCAAAGTTTCTGAATGGCAAAGGCTTTAGCTGGCAAGATCAATAGAAAGCCCACGGATTAGGAGAAGATCTTCACTAGCCATATACCGAACAAGGATCTCATATCTAAAATATACTTAGAACTCAAAAAACTAAATCCCCCAACAACAAATCCTCAAACAACCACCCCATCAACTTAAAAAGAAGCTTCTCTGAAGAGGAAATAAGAATGGCCAATAGACACATGAAGAAATGCTCAACTTCTCTAGCCATAAAAGAAATGCAAATCAAAACAACACTGAGATTCCACTTCACCCCAGTTACAATGGCTGTAATCAAGAACTCTAATAACAACAGATGCTGGAGGGGATGTGAACAGAAGGGAACCTTACTGCATT